TCAAACACCTTGACTAAAATTAATTTGGCTCGTTTAATTTTCATAAAATTTTGACAAAATATTTACTTTGACCCTTTGACAAAAACATAAAAATTTAAAAAAAAAATTGAACCACACACATTATCGGAACAATTTCGTTGAATATATATAGTAGTTTGACAAACACTTATTTTGATAATTGAGAAGCTCAATATTTTCTTAACAATAGAATGTGATTAAAACGTTCAGCTGATTTTTACAGAGTTATCTCCCTTTAGTGTTATGTACCACCTTAATTAAAATTTAAACAGTAAATAAATTTTGTTTTCGTAATACTGATAAATTTCCCGATTTGCCCTCTCTTTTAGCAAATTATGGATGCATGGCCTTGTTACTAGTAAAATAAATTGAAAAAAAAACCATTTCTTGACGAGCATCGTATAGGGGTCGTATTTCTGCAATGTGTCGACCAGGTTGTATTGCATTACAAAAACAATGCACATTATTGTAAATCAAAGATATATTATAAATAAACACAAATTGTATAGAATTAATAGTCATTCATAACAATGACTAGATTAATGAGGCCCCTCATAGGGGTGTCCAAGTAATCACATAATCACAAATTTATTTAAACAAGATAATCAAATAATCAAAAATACAGTCCTAGATTATCAAATAATCAGATAATCATGAAATATTTGGTCTGGTAATCAAATAATCAATATAAAAACGGTCAAATAATCACATAATCAAAAACCACATGAGGAGGCTCATTAATCATCATTTATCTTATAATTCACGACTGCGGAAGCATGTATCAGAATTTAAAGAAATGCTTTGAAATTAGAATCAAATTAGGAGATTGATTCATACCGTGCAGATGAAATACTAAAATAGTACCTACACTTTTTGATTTCCTTTTGATACATTTGTTTAAAATGTTTGTTTCTATTTCTATAGGTTGTTTGTGAAGTGATTTGGTACTGTTTGTCTTTCATGTTTTTCTCCATAGTGTTGTTTGGATTTTGCGTTCCCCCTTGGTGTTTTCTTATGTCGTATGTGTTTCTATAACAAAGGAAACAAAAAAAACTAAAAGCGTCCTAATATAAATAATTTATTATAACATCGATTACATAAATTACAAAAAATATAATATAACAACATGATGAATATTTAGTAAATCATTATTAATATATATCTGCATCAGGAATGAAATAAAAAAAAACAACAAATATTTAGTAAATCATAATTAATTTATGCATCAGGAATGAAAAAAACAAAAAAAACAACAACAAATATTTAGTATATCGTTATTAATATATGCATGAGGAATGAAAAAAAAAACAACAACAACAACAACAAATATTTAGTTAATCATTATTAATATATCATGAGGAATGAAAAAAGAAACAACAAATATTTAGTAAATCATTATTAATATATGCATCAGGAATGAAATAAAAAAACCCCAAATATTTAGTAAATCATTATTAATGTGTGCATCAGGAATGAAATAAAGAAGAAAAAAAAAACAACAACAAATATTTAGTAAATCATTATTAATTAATGCATCAGGAATGAAATAAAATAAAATAATAATAAAAAAAAAAAAATTAAGTAAATCATTATTGATTTATGCATCAGGAATGAAATAAAATAATAATAAAAAAAAACAACAACAAATATTTAGTAAATCATTATTAATATATGCATCAGGAATGAAATAAAAAAAAAATCTTGAAAATGAATAGAACATTTATAATTTTGTTCGTTCGAGGTGCTTTTCAAGATTTATCTTCACCAGGAACGATTAAACCCAAAATATTCGAACTTCCAAGGATGCTTTAGAACATGAACACATGAGGAGCTATATGCCCTTAAGGGAGGGTATAGATGGGGATTGGGGGTGGGGGTGGTGGCTTTATTTCTGTATTCATTACTGCTTTCGCTCATTATTCTCTTTCTTTAAAAATAATGTAATTACTTTATAACTGTATTCTATACATTGTTTTTTTTCTGTAATCAGTATATTTATACTAATTCTTTTATTTTTTTTATATTTTAGCACCCCACACTTCTCTATTCTTTATCTTTCTTGCCCATTTTTCTCTATTCTTTTTTTTTGTCCATTATTCTCTATTCTGTAAAACCCATCCCCACCCTCATAAGGGACCTAATAAGAAATAGTCAATATCCATCTGAGGTTAACTTGTCCTAATGGAGTTGGAACTTTAGTTTCTTGTTAAATTCTACGTTTAACGATGGAGTTTACAGATTTTTTTATAATCTTTTTTTTTCTCTGATCGCAGCATTTCAAAATGTATTTAATGGTACTTTTCTTTGTGATCAGATGTGATTATGAACAGCTATTTATAATACATAATATTGATATAAACATGATATATGAAGGTGTTATAATTATAGTATTATCTAGTTTCATACATACATTATTTACTATGATATTCTATATCCTCTTTCGTGTTGATTTTGAGGTCCTTATCCGTAGTCAAATATTTCAAATACGTTTCTTAATCCCTTTTAATGCGTTGCTGAATGAATATAATTTTTTTCGTATCAATTAAATACGTTAAGCTATGCTTAAATTGATTATGATTACCAGAACAAAAGGACAGTATCATCCCATCGAACGATGTAATAACGAGCATTCATAATCCAAATGGTAAAATGACGTTCTTTTAATCGAAATATATTTATAAATTAACTGTTTATACTAAATACTAAGGATTTTCTACCCCAAGGAATATATTATCAAGCTGTATTTGTTAAACCCTTCTGAAAAGACCATTTTCATATTACCGACTTTTGACTCTGGAGTTTATATTTTTTCAACAGGTTACCTCTCCTGTGGTAGGAAATCATGGTACTCGGTCAAGTTGGAGCAACTAAAAAAAGTAAAATCAAGCTTACAATCGTTTTTTTTTTTTTTGCGAGAAGTTAATTGTTTTATGTTTTCTATACACGATAAATTCATCGCAAAATAGTTAACTTTTACCCCAAATTGCACCGATTATATGTTTGATTTTACTTCTTTTGATTGCTCTTACTTGACCGAGTACCAGGATGTCATACCATAGAGTAGGTAATCTGTCGAAAAATTATATAATCCAGAGTCAAAAGTCGGTAATATGAAAATAGTCTATTGTGAGTCCTCAATGCTTTTCAACTTCGTACTTGATTTGGCCCTTTAACATTTTGATTCCAGCGTCGCTGATGCGTCTTTTGTAGACGAAAAGCGCGTTAAGCATACACAATTATAAGCCTGGTATCTTTGTTGAGTTTTATTTTGTGTGATATCTAACCACACAAAAATCCGTTTCGCTACTTCCCATATAAAGTAGTTTCATAATTTCTCGTTTTTTCTAAAACATTGCAAACCTTAAGTAAAGCCTTAACATACATCCCTCGGTTCACACAGAAATTTTTCCTTTCAGTGATGCTAATGGGAGTATCATCCAAAAATGTAAAAAACAAAAAATATGAAATAGGTCAATCAGAAATGGGTAATTAGAGAAAAAATTGATTAAGAAACTGAGCATCAAAGCTATAACTATCCCTTTTTTCCAGGTAAAAAGATACACTAGACTCTAGTTTCACAAATTTGGCAATATTTTTTCGTTTGTTTCTTTGTTTTTTTTAAGAATTAAAAACTGAAGGTTAAAATAATTTTATTTTTACAGCAATTGATGTTTATTACTACTGAAATATTGTGTCAAACTTTTGACTCATTTCAATGATTAAAAAAGTTATTTGTAATGGAAACTTTTACTCCAAAGGTATTAATGGAGTTCGTGCGTTTCTTTTACTGTTTAGTACAGGATATTTCATTGTAGCTACCCAGGACAATTTATGGTTATGTAACAGGTGATTATTAATAAAATATGTATAAAATCGAAAAAAAACTAGTAAAGTAAAATATAGGATATTTTTTCTCATACATTCTTCCGCTGTGGTAATTGCCATGAATATCAATTTTAAAGAGAAATCTAAATTAAATGTCCAATTACAGAAAACACTTTATTACGCACCGTGTAATTTATACATTCCACCTAACATTTTCCTAAATAAACATAGACAATTGATTACATTTCATTTTTAATCCACCATTTTCTACATAAGGAAATGCCTGTACCAAGTCAGGAATATGACAGTTGTTTTCCGTTCGTTTGATGTGTTTGAGCTTTTGATTTTGCCATTTGATAACGGATTTTCCGTTTGAATTTTCCTTGAAGTTCGGTTTTATTGTTATTTTACTTTTGATTACATCTTCTTATTTTTCCTCACTATTTACATTTTATATTTTGTATATACAATATATTTTGTAAAAATCAGATGCGTTTTCTTTACTATTTCTTTTTAACAGTGTTCAATCGTTTAACCTGGAATTTTTCAAAGCAATGTTTTCCTTCAAAGAAAGGCGATATGAACGAGCATTTAATGATATATATGAGCAGACTGTTTTGCCAAAGACAACTCCTTAATTGTATTGATGTATTGAAACAACGTACACAATAGATCATGTGATACTAAACAAACAAACTAAACAATTTAGTGGTTGTCGTTTGTTGATGTGTTACATATTTGTTTTTCGTTCATTTTTTTGTACATAAATTAGGCCGTTAGTTTTCTAGTTTGAATTGTTTTACATTTGTCATTTCGGGGCCTTTTATAGCTGACTATGCGGTATGGGCTTTGCTCATTGTTGAAGGCCGTACGGTGACCTATAGTTGTTAATTTCTATGTCATTTGGTCTCTTGTGAAGACTGGTCTCATTTGCAATTGTACCCCATCTTCTTTTTTATACAACTATCATAACAGTCAAAAATAACAAAATAGATAATAAAAACTGGTCTAAAAAGAAATAACCAAGAAGCATTTTGGTATGAAAAAAATGACAAACATAAAAATGATAGGGAGCATATACCTTTAAAATCAATAACCGGGATATATCTTTTCTGCATCCACATAACATAATGAGATAGATAGATACTCTGCATATGATGATCTAACATGTCTAAGATAAAAAAAAAATCACTAGAAAAAATATATTAGAAGAAAACATATTTACTAAAGAAATGTGCTTTTAGAGCTGTTTTAAGTCTTGATGCTGCTTCAAAGTTTGTCAAAGTACACTAAAAATCCATCTAGTAGAAAGATCAAAAACTGCACTGGCGTGCAGTTCCGTGCTAGCATAAAAAAGGTCGATAGAATTGATGTGTCCATATAGTTTACGAAATTTGTTCAAATCTTTTATCACGGAAATAGTCTTCAGTCTTCACATTTGTTGAAAGAAAAAGTCCCAGCTATTACTGGTAACATAATTGGACAGCATTGACTGCAACAACTGGCAGGTTCCGGTTGTTTTCTGATAATTATACCCATTACAGTTGTCGCATTGTAAACAATACAAAGCACATCTTATACTGCTTGGTACATTTATCTTATCTTCTATGTATCCAATCGAACCCTTTGCACCTACATATTGAATAAAGATAGCCTTTACATCTGAAAAATATAATGTTTTTGACGTACTAACTTGTTCAAAAATGCACTTTATACAAATGCATTCAGATGGTATAATGTTAGTTTTGTTTTCAGTATAATTCGAACACTGCTCTTAGTGTCTGCACTAGTATTGATATGTTAATTGGAAAATAAAAGGGCCACATGAAATGAAAATTCAGAATAAAAAATTATGACACTATTGTTACCAGCTATGAGGTTTTTGTGATTATAAACAGCTCTTCAATAAACACGACACCTCACATAGCTGAAAAAGCAAGGTCTGTTTGGGATAAATGAACATATTGATTTTTCGTCACTCTCTTGAAACCATTTATTGCCCTTTTGACAAATGTTTGATGAGGTACCCCCTCCCTTGTTTGCACAACATTAAAAAGACCAAAAACAAAAAACAATAACAAAAAAAAAAAACCCCTATATTTCAAAAAGTATTGCTTGTTTTTTTCAACATTTTTTGCTGCTGGTAACTGTTAGACAGAAGAACAATCGTCAAATTAGGCAGTGTATTTAATTGGTATTGTCATGATTTGAATGATACATTTGTCGGTAAAGTTTAACTTCATAATTATGCAACTTTTGTTCCAAGAAGGCTATAAAGGTAAATGAATTTGTCATATGGTGGCTATTATTTGCACTACATATTGAGAGCAAAAGTTGCAAAAAGAAGCCGTTGATATAGTGAGTAAAAAATCTGAATACAATCATTACGAATAAACATGGGAGATACTGGCTAGTCAGACTCAATTTATTGACACCTTTTAAAAAAGCCACTAAAGCATATTAAACTCAAATTAAGAAGCATATGTTCATTTTGACGTTGAAAAGAAGGAATAAACTGAATAAAACGCATTTAAAACGATAACAAAATATTGATACTCCTTCCTCCACCCCCGTTTGCATATTTAGACACAAAAGAAAATTATATCAAAAGGTATATTTTGATACTTATATAAGTATATTATTATGTCGGTAGATTTGTACCTCTGTTATAACTCTTTTGGGTTTTTTGTGTTGTATAAACCATTACCTTTGTAAAAACTTACATGATTTAAGATGTACATTTATAGACCAATATTTCTTAGATTTATGATTTTGATGTTTTGGTCGATTCATATGGCATAAATCTATATATGATCACAAGAACAATTCAGGCAAATTCAGGAATCCAATTAGCGGTTAAGCCGAAAAAATTGTTGTAACAAGTTTCAAACTGTGATGTTCATAAACTTCCGAGCGCCTTATGTTGATTAATGATCTCTAAACCGAATGGTCATCCTGTGATATCTGAAGGAACATTAAACGTATTCAATATCTTCCTCGACTTAGTCAAAAAACGGTCGCTTTGCATAAATATCTAACGGTGGAGTTTTCAATTTTAATCTTTCATCTTTCTGTAAAGTGTTTGTATTTCGCTGGTTTTTTCATCAGCTTTGTTTTCCTTTTTTTTTCTTTGACTTATATTTTTTTCATTACCCCATTGTTTCATCAACTCCGTTTTTCAATTTGATTGAGGATGCATTGGTGGCTGATTTGTCTACATAGTTCGTTTACGGTATGACTATAGCCTGTCAACACGGATGTTATGAGTTCGGACCCCGCTGTTCGACTCCAATTTTAATTGACTAGGATTCTCAGTTTTCTGCCGAAGGTCAGTGGTTCTCTTCAGATTGTCCAACTCCCTTCACCAATAATAAAAACTGTCCACCACGATAAAAGTGTTAAAAGTGGCGCTAAACTCATAACTCAGTCAATCGATAAAGTTGATTTTATTGTATGTTAAAGATTGCTAAATTATGAATTGCAGATTTAAAATCTATTCAAGTTATACTTGTAATTTCAATGCAAAAGATAACAAAGGAACACTCAACCTCACAAGTTGAAAACAAAACTGACAACGCCACAGCAAAAACGAAAAGAACTTAAAAACTAACAACAGTATACAATGAGTTTGACTGTCCCTCTGGTATCTTTCGTCCCTCTCTTATACAAAACACAACCTGGAAAACTTAGACTGAACAAAACGAACCCCTACAAAAAAGGGGTGATCTCAGGTGCTCCGGAAGGGATAGTGTTTTCGAGTTGACTTAAAATACCTGAATTGTAGCCTCCACATTGTCCTGTAGTAACATTCGAGATCAAAGTTGAGTCTGGTTTTGTTGTTGTTTCCACCGTTGCATTTACTACAAAATGAAAATGTATTGAAAACAAGACGAACGTTATATTTGAATTTGCTTTAATAACAGAAAAACATTTCTCAAAAGAGTCTCTCGGGAACCATATCTAGTCAGATTTCCTTATGTCTAGTTAGTTTCGACAGAGATAGACGTTACATTGTAAAAAGGCGCAAGGGCAATCGAAATTCCAATAAAACGGACAACATCATGGTCAATAACTAAAACGACGAAAAAACAATAATAACCAATTTTTGCAAAGAAACTCAGAATGAACAACACGAACACCACAAAAAGGGAGAACTTAGATGCCCCGGAAAGGTAAGAAACTCAGAATGAACAACACGAACACCACAAAAAGGGAGAACTTAGATGCCCCGGAAAGGTAAGAAACTCAGAATGAACAACACGAACACCACAAAAAGGGAGAACTTAGATGCCCCGGGAAAGTAAGAAACTCAGAATGAACAACACGAACACCACAAAAAAGGGAGAACTTAGATGCCCCGGGAAAGTAAGAAACTCAGAATGAACAACACGAACACCACAAAAAAGGGAGAACTTAGATGCCCCGGGAAGGTAAGAAACTCAGAATGAACAACACGAACACCACAAAAAGGGAGAACTTAGATGCCCCGGGAAAGTAAGAAACTCAGAATGAACAACACGAACACCACAAAAAGGGAGAACTTAGATGCCCCGGAAAGGTAAGAAACTCAGAATGAACAACACGAACACCACAAAAAGGGAGAACTTAGATGCCCCGGGAAGGTAAGAAACTCAGAATGAACAACACGAACACCACAAAAAGGGAGAACTTAGATGCCCCGGGAAGGTAAGAAACTCAGAATGAACAACACGAACACCACAAAAAGGGAGAACTTAGATGCCCCGGGAAGGTAAGAAACTCAGAATGAACAACACGAACACCACAAAAAGGGAGAACTTAGATGCCCCGGGAAGGTAAGAAACTCAGAATGAACAACACGAACACCACAAAAAGGGAGAACTTAGATGCCCCAGAAAGGTAAGTTGTTCCTGCTCTACATGTGACACACGTCATGCTGCTGAAACAAGTAAAATTTGGCGAAAAGTTGCCTACGGTAACGTCGCAATCAAGGAAATAGGAATGAAGATTACTAGTCTGAAAGGACAGTATTTATACTTTTGCATGAGGACTTCAGTTTAAATACCCCAACATAGCTTTTGATTGTTTTATAATCCATAACTGATTCACACCAACCCCAGAGTTGGCTATTGCAGCCAGGAACACACATGTACCGCCGATATAGTTGTCATGTGTGGAGGTACAAGTGCTTTTCAATTTGAGTAATTTATAAATTGTCTAACAAAATATAAGAAGCAAAAATTCAAATCAAATTGAAGCCAACATGACCATGCTTTATATTTGTTTATTTGTTATTTAAATAGCAATGCACTCTCTGGTTTTCTTTGGGCGATTTTTTATTGTTCTCATTTACCAAGGTATGTTTAATTTGTAGATGCAGTATATGGATATTGAATTCATGTATTTTCTACATCACTTGGGTCCTTGTTTGCGCGACATATATGTTCACAACACAGTTGAACCGACAGTGAATACATAACTGTTTATATGTACTTATTTGGTCGAGAAAAGTACGAAAAAAAGTTTCATTGCATTTTGTTTTATAATTTTCGAATTGAAAAAAAAAAATTATTCGCTTTCCAGAGTATATAGATTCGTAATTGTAGGTATATTCATTTAAATTTTTTGCTGTTCTGATAAGTTTCCCTATTTATTATACTTGCAGAAATGATTTGTTGTTGTTCCTACCATTATTTATATATGGCTGTGTGCTGATCAATATTTAAACAGTTGTACAGTATGAAAGACCCATTTTAACCCTGTAATGCATCTGTCTGGATAATCGATTTTTTTTTTCAGTTAGTGCATTTTGTTTTGACGGTTGATACTTAATAGTTCTCTTTTTTGTATTTTTCACAGTTGTGCTAAAAGTTGGCGTAATAGAGCTGGACATATTGTATGATGGCGATCGTATGTTGACTTATATATATCTTTTCTTCATGTTTGTTTGACTGTCATCATGTGTATCCCTTCGTCTCCTTTCCTCCATAAAATACTTGATAGAATGAATTTGTTTTCTTAAACTGGATTATGTTTTGGAATTGTTGAATGCATTTTTTTCTCTGTTTGTTTTCAGTTCCAATTTTAGTTGCAAGTGTAACTTACTTTATCTAACCTCCTTTTCATTTTTAGGATTATCATTGGTCAAAAGCAATCGCGTGGAGACCGTGTATATTTTATATGGGGTTAGTAGGCGTGGTTTATTTTAATAAACGGTTACTAGCGGTGTTACGTCCCATTATAAAAACAACAAGACGTTGAAGACACATATCAATGAAACGTTTCGCCCAAACAGCAGATGAAGAAATTGATAATGAGCGACTGAAAATAAATGCAAAAACACACATTAAAGTTAACAAGTTGTATAGTATTGGCATTTGTTTTTGTATAGAACAATGGAAGTAGGTTCTTAATATTGAAGACTTAATCACTTCGATAGGCCATTAGTGTAAATGCTAAGATAGTCGATAAGATAAACTCGTTACACAATGGGCTAGTGACCTAATACGATATATATGGGGTCAATAAATTCCATATGGGGATTCGAGCTTTGCTCTCAAACCTATGTGGAATTTACTGACGCCGTATATATCGTTTTAGGTCACTGGCACACTATGTAACTTATAATATTTCATGTAATATAATTTGCAACATATAACCATTCGAAACTCATGGTAAATGTTGTAATACTCATTTATCAAAATTTAGGCATATACATCCTAGTATTTTGATTGAACAAACCTGTTCCTGTTAGTTTTATTTCGTAACTGCTAGAAGTACCCACTTCATTTTCCACCTGACACCAATAAGTACCAAAATCATCTTCAGCATAGTTAAGAATGGTTAGTGACGGATGTGTTACATTACTGCCGGAATATTTCAAAGTGTTTCCTTTGTCTATACGACTACAGACATCAGATATATCACAATGAAGCCATGTGACATCAGGTTTTATATTAGGATTGGATGGGACGTGAATATCAGAGTAGCCACTATTCAGTTCGATTGTTTGACCGATCGGGTCAATATACAGAGATGTCATGGATGATGTTACGGACGGAGTACCTGAAAACAAAACCATAGTTTTCTGACTAAGATGTAAATGTTTTCTTAAAACGGATTATGTTTTGTAATTGTTCAATACATTTTATGGCGGGCTTTACTTTGTGGTGTTTTCAAATTTTCAATTTTAGTTAACGCATTAATAGGTATAGCTGACTGTTATACACGTTATATAATTTTTCAAAGATTTTATAGTGTCAATGTTTTGATATCTTTGTTCCCTATTATTCTGATACGTGTCGTATATATGCGCCAAAATAATGCAGGCTATCGCTTTTTTTACAAAATAAATAGTTACAAAATATCTCATTCCATTCCATAAAATTTATTATAATTAGGTGTTAAAAGCTACGTAAGTGCGTGGTATGAAAGCACCAAATAACATCTTAAATTAAAGGAAAGCCGATTATAAAAATACAAAGAATTATGAAGACATCAGCATTGATACATTTATATTTTTTTACAAACACTCAAGTAAACAAGATCAAGTACTACATTGATTTTTATAAATTATATGTCTGGTATCTTTAATAACCACTGGATCAATACCAATGCTGTAGGACGATTCATCTCCAGGGGTATCACCAGCCCAGTAGTCAGCACTTTTGTGTTGCCATTAAATATAATTTAATGTGTTCATTTTCTGTGAATTAACTGTGTATAAAATGTTGAAATACTCGAAACACTAAGGGTTTTCTATTTTCGGACATAGATCGTCTTAACAGCATTTGGCACGACTTTTCGAAATTTTTGGATTTTAATGTTTCATCAAAGTCGTAATATGATTTGGCATTCCATCTGTTTTGATTTGAACGCCACTGACGAGTCTTGTGTAAACGAAACGCGTGTTACGGAAAAAAATTATAAGTCTGGTGTCTTTGAAAAGTAATTTTATACAGCTAAAAAATAGCATCTAATCACATACTTATTGAATAATATCACAACGTCCTACCTCGCAATTGATAAGGTCACCATTGAAGTCGCTCTTATGCATAGAAAATAAACCAAAATAATTGAACTCCAAGGTAAATTCAAGAAAGGGGAAATCCATAAAAACTGACAAAATCAAACATTATTCAACCAATTGAAAACAACTGTCATATTCCAGACTTGGCACAGGCATTGTAAAAAGAATATGGTGAATTTAACATGGTTTTATAGCTAGCCACACCTCCACTTGTATAACAGTTGTACATAGTTCAGTTATATTGACAAAATTGGGTGAGCAAACCAATCAAACATAAAGAGATTTTCGTTTATCACCTCATTTTATTTGTATTTTTGATTAATGCAAAATATTAGCTGCTACGTTTAATCCAAAATCACCTTATCCTTCCGAAAGATCTGAGATCACCCCTAGTTTTTTGTGAGGTTCGTGTTGCTTAGTCCTTAGTCTTCCTTGTTGTGTTTTATGTACTGTTGTTTGCCTGTTTGTCTTTTTCTTTTTAGTCATGGCGTTGTCAGTTTGTTTTCGACTTATCTGAGTTTGAATGTCCCTTTGGTATCTTTCGTCTCTCTTTTTCATTGCATACAGGTCACCGGATGTCTTACATCCTTTTCGCAACAAGTTCTCATAGGATAACAGATTTTATATTATTTTTCAATGTTTTAAGTATCATTCATAATAGTTTTTATTTTGCATTACGTTTTTGAAATCAAGTTCACGTTTAAACATTTTTATGTTTTCAAAAAGGTGATTCTAGCAACATTGTAACACGTTTAAACAAAAAACAATTTGTTAACTCACCTGACTGAAAAAGTAACACAGGTTGTTCAAGATGATAAATATTAACTCCGTCAGAGGCAAAACAATCGTAAAAACCCCAGTCGTTAGGACCTACCGACATTATGGTAAGATCCGTAATAGGCGAATTAAAGTATTGGATTCCATCCATTGTAACTGTGGTTTTAGATCCATTCAAATTCTGGTTTATCCAGTATACTGAAACTGGTGTTTGGGAAAACTGAACATGTATTTGAGTAAAATCATCCAGATCTACTGTTATCTTTGATTCTACACTGGTCACTTGGATTCCAGCTTCATAAACTAACAAATAAAATATTGTAAATATATAAGTTATGCGTGTTCAAAATATCAACTAATTACATAATTGTGGTATATTTTGCAAAACAAAATGAAACATTGTGTCTGTCATAGCTATTCTTTCGAAAATATTATTGACTTTGAATTTATTAAGAACTAGTTTATATTATTATTCCATAAAACACCGTTATTTAATAAAGATAAGCGCAAAACTATCTTCTTGTGCGGTAATATGTGTTAGTGCAGTTGTATTTGTGTGAGCCGAATTGTTAAGCACACGCAATATGGCTTTTGGGTAAGGACACGTGCAAAGAGCTTTACTTATCATAATAAGAACACACATGTCTTTTATAATCAATCAACCATTGCTCCATGAGGACCGTTTAAAAGAGATGTGTCCAATCACTAGGCATTGTTATTGTAAAAAATACATTCTATTTTATTACATTTAGTATGCCCTTTTCTTACTCGACTTTTAAAATGAGTATCAATGTTATCAAAAACAAACATAGACAATATCCATAGTTGACGTGTTGGCAAAATGTGAAATTAGATAAAAAGGATGCTACTTGGTATTAATATTTGGAACGAGTTACTATACTAGGCATACTTAATTGTATCTGTAGTTTCCCTTATATCAGTTTTTCTTGGAAAGATGAGTTCAACCTAGTCACTGCGCTTTGAATAATTTCATACTTCAGTATGAAATCTGCCTCATATGAATAAGGGTACAAGTCGGTAAGAAAAGAAACACAGTTGGTTCCCATATAAATGGCGTTTTTCCGTTTAGAAAAAATCCTCCAAACGTAAAGAATATCTTGTAAATAAAAAAATCTTGATGATGTATATTTTACAGTATTTTGTTGTTTGAATCTGAAGGTTTTTTTTTGACAAAGTATGATTTATTCTTTTCTAAAATCCATGTTTGCATCAGTAGGTCTATTTTTAGAAACAAAATTGGACTAATTCTCTTTCAATCAGTCTTCAAGTTTAGAATTCAAATCATATTGCAAATCGTACATGTCAAGTGCCAGTCTTTGTATGAATCAGGCAATTTAGAAAAAAATCAAAACATGGCCGAAAAAAACTCACCGACCTAACCACCCTATTTTGAAGGTACCCTCATCGTAGGTCTTTCGTTTCTGCGTGTCTGGTAATTCGAGAAATATCTAGATAAATTTTGGTTAGAATGATAGCAAATTACGGAGTTATCTCCCCTTAATTGTTATTTTCTAGAGCATTTCAACCAAATTATATCTTGAATTACCAGAACAGGGAAAGGAAACGAATGTTATATTCATGATCCATTATACATTCTGAACTTAAATTAATGTAAAGTTGAGCGGGTTTTTGTTTGTCATGTTTTCACCACTGCCTGATTCTTAGACAGATTGGCACTTAAGACTTAGATTGTAAGTATTTCAACACATTTTTAAAATTGGTTAGTATCCATATCATAGTAACACCTACCCTAGAGTAGGTAGTTTCACAGTGAATTTGAAGCCCGGCTTTGATAACCAATAAAATAGATATCAGTTTTAAAATGGAATCAAAATTGCAAAATCGTTTTTAAAGACGGAAATTCGAAGATATTAGAAAATATTACACAAACATACAGTATACTGGTCTTTTAATTAAAGAGAGTTACAAATGTTTAAATATTCTATACAAACATAAATAAAACTCACGAATTATGTTGCATAAACAGATTGCAATGCTGAATATAATTCTTTCATGCATGATAACAACTGAAATCTACTTGTAGTTTTCCTCACATACATCGACCAGTGTCTGTAAGAAATGTCAGAAAGCTAAAACCATGCTGGTATTACACATAGCTTATTAATCATATTTCCGAGGATGAGTGTCTCCGCCCTTGTAGGCAATAAAATATTTTACCGCAATTTCTTTAGCAAGAAAAACACAATATTGATGCCAGATCTCAAAAAAACGCCATGTCGTCTGCTAGTGCAATTTTAGGATTAGTCGAAGGAAAGTCCTAGAATTCGAATTTAATAAAACGCCCACGAATAAATGTGGTAGAGTGGTGTACATAGGCATTTTAATAATTATTAAAAAAATACGTGACAAAGTAAATTGACAGTTTTTGAAGTATTTCCCGTCAATATTTATAGAATCGTAACATTAGCATCTGTTGTTACATTTGATAAATATATTGTACTAGGCCATATAAATAATTATATTTTGGAAGAATATAATCGACAGGATATGAATAGAAAATCGGGTGTGAATTAATGGAACTCAAAAACTCTCTGGTAAATTAATCCTGTTGAATGTACTGGATATTGTTACTTGATCCCTGCTATCTTATTCGAATGTTTGAGCAAATGGAGCTTAAAGTTGGTGTTAGGGATTTACAATGAGTTCACATAAATTTGAATTTACCACAAATATGTTCTCAGCAGGTGAAACGCTTTGTTTCAGTAAATACGAGCGTTTAGTGAAACCGTATTATTTTGTTTGGTTTGTGTATTGCGTATATAGCTATTACATCCGTATGTTGGAGTACAGTGTATTCTATAAACTTATTAAATGCGTGTTAAAATATGAAACGTGTAAATTCCTTGTGGGAAGAATTGAGGGCTGAAACTACGTCTATAAAATGAGAGGTGAAAGATACCAAAGGGATATTCAAACTCATAAGTCGAAAACAAACTGAAAACGCCATGGCAAAAAAACGAAAAACGACCTAAAGACAAACAACAGTATACAAAACACAACATAGAATACTAAAGACTGAGCATCACGAATTCCACCAAAACAATTGTTGATAACGCGCTACATATTCAGAAGCCATTCCATGTGAGGAACATGACAGTGACAGTCTTTAGATATATCTCAATGTTTTGTTTGTGTTTGGAGTTTAATACCGATGCCACATCTTTAATATCTGTTAAAGGTTTCAAAGGCTTACATAGCGTGTCATAACGTGCAATTATATCATATTGGATTTATATTTTACTTGTAAATACTTTAATAAATATTAATGATAGTGTCAAATTACCAAGCTATCGATAGAGAAAGAGAATCAGAGTTTGAAAGATATAATTTGTTTACAAAATAATTAACTTTACCAAACAAATAAGAAAAAAACATTCCCATCTCTGGTAAATGGAAACAAATTTGATAAAACCAAATCATTGAACGTCTTGTTAAAGGTTTCAAAGGCTTACATAGCGTGTCGTAACGTGCAATTATATCATATTGGATTTATCTTTTACTTGTAAATACTTTAATAAATATTAATGATAGTGTCAAATTACCAAGCTATCGATAGAGAAAGAGAATCAGAGTTTGAAAGATATAATTTGTTTACAAAATAATTAACTTTACCAAACAAATAAGAAAAAAACATTCCCCTCTCTGGTAAATGGAAACACATTTGATAAAACCAAATCATTGAACGTCTTGTAATAATCCTTTAAAACAGCAAAGATGCGATTGTTTTCTTTCTGAATATGAATTATGAAGTGATATATAACCTTTACTATGGTTGACATGGAATTACGATATTTTATCCTAGTGCATGTTTTTCATCATTAAACACTAATCTCGTTTTCATAATTCTGTCTGGATTTAATATTCATTGTTTTTTTTTTTAAATTCAGATAGTTCATTAAGGTATTATCACATTAACAGCAAAACCAAGATAATAAGTTCTGTAGTAAACATGAGAGCTAATGTAAAAGACTGCCTTCATTAAGGCATGTACTAAAAGGTTGAGTGGAGTGGAGTGGAGTGTTGGAGTGGAGTGGTGGAGTGTTGGAGTGTTGGAGTGTTGAAGTGGAGTCATGGATTGAAAACATGGAGTTAGGAAATGGAGTGTAGTTGAGTTGTTGGGACAAAAGTTTTAAAATTAAACCAATTTTTATAGCTTTAAAAATCATGGAATGAATTTGGATGTTTGGTCTCAACAACGTCCAACTGCATTTATGTACATTGTACCAATATAATTCACCTTGGATGTGTCATAGGTATGATTTAAGGTTATATCTCCAAACATGCAGTCTAGGTCGCACACACATTTAAAGATGTCCTGAAATGTGTAAGATGTACCATGAGGGCGTTAGCCCGAGTAGGTGTATCTAATTTACACCCCAAAATATTATGATTAATGTTAAATGATAAATTTCTATAATTTAGGAGGGGGTCATTCAGCAATTTTACCTTAGTTAACAACACTCTGGTGTAAATAATTTTACTTGCAAAGCAAAGTTAAAGTTATAAACTTCGAATATATACAAAACAACAGCATAAACAGAACAGTCTTTTGACATACACTTGGATTCTGTATGTTTCATTTGAAGAAAGATATGAATTTGCTTATTTGGTAAAAGATCTATGTATCTATTGAGATCAATATATCATTCTTTAAGTTATTTTTAAATCAAGAATCAAAACTTTGTCTGTTTGACATAAATTATATAGTTTTATTCGATGATGATCAATTAATGATTTTTTTCATTTATTTCAATATTTAAGAATCTTGACATTCACAGGAAATATAGCACATCCGATTCATGGGATAATCTTTTAAACTTTTAGGTCACGTCCGAAAATTAGAATTATACTGTTATAGTAATATTATAGTAATGACAGTTTTATGGGTTCTATTGACAGGTGACGGTGATTAGATACATTGTCCTTATCTATTTATAATTGGAAGAAACAAAATATTTTAAATAGTACAGTCATTAAATTAACATGATAAAATCAAAGTGAAAATGTTGATTGATAATTAAATTTTATTATATCTTGGTCCCTTGTTAACAAAAATATTAATAATTTTAATATCTTTATTGACAAGATGATTTTTCAGTCACTAGTTATCAAATATTATTAACTTCTGTTTGACTCTGACAGACTTTGCAGGGAATAAGACATACATTTTTTAACTAGGGGCTTAACCTGCAACAATGTGAAAATTAACATAAGCACAATGGGCATTTTAATAAAAGTTTTGTGAGCTCGTCCAAAATTTTAGTAGCATAGGCTATTGGGCCCTTGCTAATCATTTTCCCTGCTTAGTATATCGTATTAAATACGTTTTGTCAATGTTCAAGTTTATAATTTCCATAAAATTATAAGAATTGGAAGAACAATAATAAACACAATATTGAAGTTTCAGATGTCATACATAATTATATGTAGATTATTACAAGAAATATATTTTATGAATTAATTTGTATAACTTATGGTTGTTGCTATTGCATCAATTGAAAGTGTATAGAGCCAATTGAATGCAGACGTTTTCATTCACTGATATTAGAAACAATAATGGGTTTTTCATTTTTTCAGATAATTATTTACTCTTCAAGGTGAATTGATTGATGCATTTTAATTGTTTGTGATGAGACATTATATAATGATTAAGATAAACAGTCCAGAAAAAACTGCCATTAGAAATACACTACAATTCAGAACAGTAAAAATTATTACTAGATAAACAATATCATCACACCTCTAACTGAGCTGTCATAAAATGCTACCCAGAACATTGTCTAACATTGATAAATAATCAAATATGACAAAAGAAAAAAATATAAAATCATCGTGTTCTGCAATTTCAATAAAAAAAGAAGAAAAAAAAAAACAATTATAAATGATTTTCATTTGAGATTTTCATTTGATTCGTTAACAATTTCATTTGATATGAAGTGTGATTGATTTATGGATTCATTCAAAATTTTACCAAAATCCTTTACTCCTCCCCACTCCATTTCCTAACTTCATGTTTTCACTCTATGACTCCACTCCAACACTCCAAAACTCCACCACTCCACGCCAACACTCCAACACTCCACTCCACTCCACTCAACGTTTTAGTAAATGCCCTTCATTAATTACTTAAAAGATTTGTCAAGTACAAAATAGTCAGTCAGTACAGACACATCAAAGTGAAATATAATTAAAATATGAAATGTAAGATTGGTTGATTGATATATGTATGCTTCAAGTGCAGTGACTAATATTTCATGAATACTCATAATGATATCATATGAACAAGATCTGTAATAGTGAATTGTTATTTTGTTATATTATTTAACTTAGTACTAATCTGTTCAATTTTATACAGATTGTACTCGTATTGTGCTTTGACATCACTGTCTAAGGCTCATCTGTTATCCTTTGGTTGTCGGTGGTTGCTCTTTGTTATATTTTGTCTTCATTAATTGTTTTGTCATAAATATAGTCATTATTTTTCAAAGTTGATTTGTTTTTCACTGTGTCATGTCGGGGACTTTTATAGCTGACTGGTTTTTCTCATTGTTGAAGGCCTTACGGTGACTTCTGGATGGTTACATTTACGTCACTTAGATTCTGGTAGATAGTTGTCTTATTGGCAATCATACCATATCTCCTTATTGTCATAAGCTTTACCGAATGTGTTGACCGAGATGAAAGTAGGGAATTTAGACTTGTTCGGCAATAATAGGGGTTGTTTCCTTGCCACTGGCCACTAACAGGACTCTCACTTTTTCTACGCGCAGACAACTGTTTTCTTTAAACATCGAATCGAATTGAAGGTCCCAATTTTGACCATACGTGGGAGTATATTTATACATTCCATAGAGTTAAATAGAAGCTTCTTTGTAAGGAATTCGTAATCGTCTAACGGATAAATTCTGACTATCTTAATACCCCGCTTTACCTATGTGGTTCAAATGTCACATTGTTTTTGTAATTTATTCAACCAAACCCGTGGTAAAATCATGAGAAAATGAATTTAACTTGTAAATCAAGATCATTTAAAGTTTCCAAAAAATCAT